AGTTTTAAATGCTCACACACATACCTGACTCTCGTGCTCTATTTTCCTCTCGTTTCTTTTGAATTTTCCGTTTCGAAGCACCTGATGAATGCTTTCTCTTTGACACTCAGCGACAGAATCAACAGACAGAGGCGGCAACGCAGATTTGAATCTGCCAATCAGATCAATCTATTGCTGGAGAGGGGGGGGGGCCTCCCCGAAATCTGTGAGATTGATTGGTGATGATCACTGGCACGTAATGTGTCCAATGAGAACGTTAACACGTTTTAGAGAGTTATGTTTAGCGAAGACGGAGGTCAGCCACTGTCAGCCGGAAGTGGCGCATTCGAATACTGTTTGGGCTGTCTGCCGTGGATGGGCTGCATTCCACTCCAAATAGCCGGTCGGCCGTAATATATGCATATATATATATGCGTGCATATATGCATATATATATGCGTGCATATATGCATATATATATATATATATATATATGTGTATATATATATGCATATTTATATATATGTGTATATATATGCATATTTATATATATATGCATATATATATATATGCGTGCATATATGCATATATATATATATGCGTGCATATATGCATATATATATATATATGTGAATATATATATGCATATTTATATATATATGCGTGCATATATGCATATATATATATGCGTGCATATATGTGTGTGTCTATATATATTTATAAACTGTATATTATTTTCCATCATTCAATGGACAATTTGTACTTTTTTAATATATAGGCTACCATCAAACATATGTTCATATATAAAGTGGGTAACTATACAAAACGAAGTGAGATAACTGTTTATGAATATCTGTTCAATTTTATGTAAACTTGTGTAACTCATGAAAGATAAATGAGTGTTTCAATAAAACTATTACATATAAATGTATAGTGCAGTTTTTGTTTTCATTGCAATATATTTTTTTTATATGTATCAATATATAGCCATACATGGTCCATGCATATATTGCAATATATTTAAAAATATAAGGACTACTTTCCCATATATGGAAATGTATGATCCAGTATATTGTATTATATTTACCAATATATTACAATATATTTTTGTTTCATAAGGGCTCTGACAGCTACAGAACAAACAAGTAACTCAAAACCTTCTAAAAGCCCCAGCACATGTGTTTTCTTCAAGCTCCTCTTCCATTTAATACTGCATGCACGTAAATATACCGGCAACGTGGAGAAATAAAATTTCAAGATATACCGAATGTGTTCCTTTTCCTCTGACCTTTCAGAAGTTATGAAGTACACCAGCTCATATCAGAGCTGCTGTTGTGCAAGAGATATTGCAACCTGATCAAAACAGGTTATAACAGCAGCAGCATTTAAAACATAAAAAAGAGCCACCAGTTTCTCAAATCATACCAGATGATGAGTTAATGTTTCAAATTATTAATCAGGATTGAATGAGTTATCAGCAGCTTATAAGCGCCCTCTTCTCTTGATCGATCATTTATAAATCAAACATGCATCATCATAACTCCATCCTAAAACCAGCATGAGACCCACTTTAAACTGTCTGCACTCTGTTTACCCCGCCATCAATGTGATGGGTGTGGGGAGGCCTCGTAATGCATCCCAAGGTTTCCATTTGGCCGATGACTGATGGGAGTAATCATTCTGCCTGAGCGATGGATCATGAGTGATAGTCTCCCTGGGGAGAACATAAACACCAGAAAAGCAACAGCAGCATTTTGTTCGTGTCCTCTAACTGCACTGTACATACTAACCCATTTCCCTCTCTTTTACAACACTTTTCTAACCAAATCTCCAAACGGTGTACAGAGAAAGATGTGGCTCTTCATACACTCCATGCCATTACCGAGAACACCTACCCTGCACTCACAGTATTTTTAGCCCTCTTCATTAGGGGGGGTAGATAACCCTCTAATCTAACCCCGTGTGTCATCATAGCTCCCGCAGCATAAGCAGGTGTCACCCACTGTTCACCCACACAGCTGTAACCAGCGGCGGACTGGGACTACAAATCAGCCCGGGACTCTCGACCGGCCCACCTCGGTACCGCAAGTAATCACCGCTAGTAAATTGTCAACGGGGGGGGTGCATACTTTGTGAATTTACGGCGGGGCTCCACTTGGACTGTTGTTTTTCTGATGGAGCGTTGTTATCAGGGCTTCGGGGTCAGAGTGGTGTAGATGTCATGTCGAGCCCTCTGGTGTGACATAGGCTGAACTGATACGTGTGAAGGGGGGTGTCTGCACGATAACCCATGCGACCTGTCCACCCCCACTGCTTCCCTCCCATCATTTCACACTCACTGAAAGGCTCGCCCTTATATACCGCATTGTCTGGGTTTTTTTAAAACACCTTTTCGAACTTAAAGCTTACAGGGGTGTAATTTGGGGGTTTTAATGAATGAAAGTACTTTACCAGGTGAATGATTCATTGGTGTTTAAGATGAAAAATAAGCAGTTTAAATGTATTGGCTTCAGTATTGTGAAGAAAGTGTACTGTATAGAGAAAATTATAACATTTATTATAGTAACATTTATATCCTCACAAAGTTAAGTACATTTAAATGTGTACTTGCAATAGAGTTGGACTTACAGCACTACAATGTACTTGCAAATTAAGCCTTACATGCAGGGACATTTAAGCTTTTTTATAACATTATATTTTTAAACTCCCACTGCCATTTTGATTACACTTTGCGTAATCCTTAAATATAACACATCACATTGTAAATGCTAACATGCTGATGTTAAGCATGTTTATGTTAATTGATTGTATTTAGTGAGTTTCACACTAACATTTTATTTTAACTATGGGGAACACAACATTTTTTACCAACATTTGTAACACTCCCTATATATTTATAGATACAGTATATAATATATATATATATATATATATATATATATATATATATATGCGTGTGTGTGTGTATATGTTGAGATATTTCTCAGGATAAGTGAACACTTTGAACTGCTTGTAGCACTAAAGCAAGAGACAGAGCAACACCATAACCATCAGGATTCATCCTCATGGAACTATAAATATCTGAACTGAAATGTATTGCAAGTCATTCAATGCTGCTTGATATATTAAGATAAGATAAGATAAGATAAGATAGGTGGACCGTTATTGATCCCCATGAGGAAATTCAGGTGTTACAGTAGCAACAGAATAAGAGAGAAATGCAGGACATTACAGAAAATAATTCACACTGGGATAATAAGAATAAGCAAACCTGTTGTAGTCTGGACTAAAGTGGTAGACCATCTGACATTACCATCTGTAGCTCGCATGCCTAAAAACTTTGTTGAGGTTTTATGCTTACCCATGGATGGCTAGAAATCTACACATTAGCTGCAAACAAACATCCTCATTAGGAAAGAGAAATGAGCTTGCTGAACTCCCAAAATGAGCCAGAGTGTGATAATTCCTGCTCTTCTTCCAAAGATCAAGACGTGCATGATCTTTGGAAGAAGCGTTAAAGGGGCAAGGCACCAGAGCTTTTGTTCTGGCCCTATTCTTCTGATAGTTCCTCTGATGCTGGTTGCTTAAACGCAGATTGTATAAAGGTCACTTTGCATAGTGCATACAAATTCCCACTTCCAGTTAGAAACAAAATAGACACAGCCACAAAAGGATTTTGATTCATCGAGGTATAAATTATTCAATCACCCCAGAGAAACGCTCTCAAACAGACACACATGGTCACATGAAGCGTTATGTCCTAATGGTTTCTGATGTTCTCAGTAATGAGCTACAGACAAAAGGCAGCTCCAGATAAATGAGCGAGTTGATGAGAATGTGTGTTGGCTACCTATAGAGTTATGTAATATGGTCAAGGAGAAGAACTTTGATTGAAAACAAATTCAGAGTTGTTAAAGGAATTAACCTGCATCAATGTGTTTGCTTATGACACACGAAGGGAAATGCAGCAATGTGTAGGATTCTCATCAAAATCCTCCCTCTTAAATATGTAATTCGCCTTATCCTACAACTGACAGGTGATTGCATCACTCCTGTGGTTTAGTAAGGTCATTTAAAGGAGGTGACTGCAATCATGGAGTATCCCTCCCAAACACGGGCCATGTAGAGTGGGAGAAGAGGCAGTACCTCAGGGGACGAATAAGAGTGATGGCTCAATGAAGACTGTCTAATTGAGCTGCTACAATGAGAGATGTTCAGAAGGGGTTTAACTGACATTGTTTGATGAGCTTATGGCAATACATTTGAGTATTTATTCCATATCCTTGATATCAGACGGCAGCTGCCTACACTAGTTGGCTCTTTGATTGCACTTGTTAGATATGGTCACACTAGTTTGCCACTCTGCTTTACTAGTTCAATAAAACATTGTACTAGTCACTCTTTTTCAGCAACTAGTGGCACTTTTGTCCGACTAGTTACCACATAAGCCTTACTAGTGACGCCAGGAGCAGCACTAGTAGCTCCAAAGTACCAACATGTAAGCTTTTTGATGAACTAGTGGCCCTCTGACTGTGCTAGTGCCACTTATGGCAAGCCATTTGAGTATTTATTCCATATCCTTGATATCAGACGGCTATGGGATGGCATGTACAACAAGAATAAGTTATTTGGGATAAAAAAACAATAAGTAGAAGTCCAAAAATGAATGAGAGGAAGCATTGGTTATATGGTTTATCTAAATAAAGCACTTTGACAAATGGAATCCATTTAGAGAGAGTAAGAAATGGGTTGGATAACACATCTTGTTTTGTGTGCGCTTTGGCAAAGAGAGACGCACAGAGAGAGAGAGAGAGAGAGAGAGAGAGAGAGAGAGAGAGAGAGAGAGAGAGAGAGAGAGAGAGAGAGAGAGAGAGAGAGAGAGAGAGACACAGAGAGACACAGAGAGAGGGAGAGTGAATGAGAGAGGGAGGGAGATAGACCTCCTTCGGGCGTCTCGTTACTAATTTGTCGTCCAGTTTTCTTGCGCACCTGCTTTGGATACCTCTGACTTCTCCATGCGCCAGATTCTTGCCTGAAACCTTAACATGGATCTACTTCCCTACTATGCTTTTGGTGGTTTTAACGACTCAGTCTCCATAACTCCTTTCAATGTGACGGTAACAGAGGATCCTCTGCGCGTTCACTCGTACAGCAACGAGACCAACAGCAGGGCTGCAGTCATCGCCGTCTGTATCACGGCTCTCTACTCTGTCATCTGTGTGGTAGGACTGCTGGGAAACGTGCTAGTGATGTACGGGGTGGTCAGGTAAGAAATAAATGATTGAACAAAGAGCCAGAAACTATTTAGTAAAACACACAAAAAACATTCAAGGGGGAGAGGAAATAATGGGGTATTCGTGATTTAGTGGAAGATTACAGCTCTAACACACACACACACACACACACACACACACACACACACACACACACACACACACACACACACACACACACACACACACACACACACACACACACACACACACACACACACACAGACTCCTACACTAAATAGGAAGGGGGGTTGAGGGGTGAGCTACAGTTTTGCGTTGAAATTACTTGATTGTACAAATGACTCCTGTCAGGATTGATGTTGTAAGCAGGTAGTTAATCGCCATGGAAATTAGGCTGCATGTTGAACCCTGACCTGCACAGCGACGACTGCGGCACTGATTCATGTTCTCAAGATTCCCAGGATTCATGTCATGTTGATTTGTTGCTGAACTAATGCAGCTTAAATGAGATTGCAATGGAGTGATGGTCCGACCTCCACTGTCAATCAATCATCTCACTTAACTGCTCACTGTGTTGAAGATAAAATATATGAGTTTCTGTACTGTTTTACAATTCAGAATAATGAGAGAAACAGAGAATACAAACAACATCCGGCCCACTCTCCTTGGTAAAGCAATTAACGTCAGCCTGTATGTTGTGATACATCTCTTTACATGGGAGAGTAAGATAAAAGGGAAGACATGCCTTTGTCTTCCCTCATCCTTAGAGCTTGTTGCTCCATTTAATTAAATATGACCAACTACTGTCATATTGTGGACTCATGTGGATGAATTCATATCTAATTGGCCACTGGTTAAAGAAAAGAAACACACTTTCCACACTTTGAATCTGAACATTTAAAATGAAGATTTCTCAGCAGGCAAGGACTCATTACTTGCCGTAGAAGTGCATTTTAATGGAGGCTTACAGACACTTTGGATCTCATGCATTTAGGGTTGTTCCCTGTAAAACATTAAGCATCTTTATTTGTTATTTGAGTGGAAATAGGAGATCATTGGTTTGAGAGAGGAAATGGATTAGATCAAACAATAAACTGGTTTCTAACCTTGATGGAAGTCGTGAGTCATCCAGAAACAGCAGCAGACAAACCTTGGAAAAAAAACAACATTTCCCGTGGACTCTGAGTCAGAATCAGTAACACGTACCACATGCTTCTTTCAACCATCCAGGTATACCAAGATGAAGACCGCCACCAACATCTACATCTTCAACTTGGCTCTCGCCGACGCCCTCGCCACCAGTACCCTCCCCTTCCAGAGCGCCAAGTACCTGATGGGCACGTGGCCCTTTGGGGAGGTGTTGTGTAAAGTGGTGATCGCCATCGACTACTACAACATGTTCACCAGCATCTTCACGCTCACCATGATGAGCGTGGACCGCTACATCGCCGTCTGTCATCCCGTGAGGGCCCTGGACTTCCGCACGCCTGCCAAAGCCAAGCTCATCAACGTCTGCATCTGGATCCTCTCCTCTGCTGTTGGAGTGCCTGTGATGGTCATGGCTGTTACCAGGATGAAACTTGAAGGTGAGAGATTTTTTACTCATTAAGAAGAACATTTCCACATTTAGTAAAATTACTTTGGCCACAGCTGGGCTGAGGAAACAGCTGTAAACCTTTTCAAACACCTATTTACACATCCAGCTGTTACAGTGCAACATTATGATTCACTTTAAAGGTCACCTATTGTGCAAAATCCACTTTTTCATGTCTTTTATACATCAATATGTGTCTCTGCATTAAGGGATTCTGAAAGTTTCAGGAAAAAAAATTCGCTCTCTTTTTGTCCTGATCCATATGCCCCTTTCACACCAACGCGGTTCCAGGGCCGGTTCGGAGCTAGAGCCTGATAAGCACTGTTTTTTCTTGTTCACACCGCAGCGGAGCCGGCTCTTTTCCCCGAAAACCAGTTCTTACCAAGCTCCAAAGAATTCGGTCTAGAAGCAAGAACCGCATACGTCACGCTTACGTCGGAGGCGGGGGCAGGGGCAGGAGCGGGATCAACCTCCTGAACAACAACAGAAAGCCCACGTTTTGTCCAGTTTGTACACAGTGATGGAAAACCCCAAACTTAAAGTGGACCTATCATGCTATATTTGAATAATATATTGTAGGGCCATACCTATATAAAGGTATATTTATACGTTTTCTTTTTCAAAATACCAAACAGATCATGCATTTTAGCCATGCCTCATTTCGCTCTATTTTGCTCTCCTCCACCCTGTCTTTGCATGAGCTGACCACGCCCCCCTGCAAAGGAGGGGGCCGAGTTACGAGCGTCGTGTTACCATGCTGTTACCATGCCACGGCAACCTCTCATTCCCCTGATAGGTCAGCTCCTCCGTCCTGACGTCAGAGAAATTTTCAAATCTGGATCAGTCTGTATCAGATCCGTTGCAGCCCCGTTTTTAGAGATTTGGGTATGGAGGAAAATAGAGAGGGTTGTGTGTTCTGACACTTGGTGAGTTCCCTGGAACACCGGGGACACATATTCATGTATAAAAGATGTACAAAAGTGCATTTTGCATGATAGGTCCCCTTTAAACCGTGGACCAGATTTGTAACAAACTGAAAAAAGTTAAGAAGAATTATCGGGACCAAAAGTGAGACCTCGGACGGAGTGGCAGCGGTCGTCCGAAAACAAGTCCACATTATGACTTGCTAGACCCTGCCAAAGAACATTTGAACGTCGCTTGTGACGAATGGAAAGTTTGTGGTGAAGTCGTCCGGTTATTTCCATTTGGTTTCGACAAAGCAAAACGAGCAGCGCTTCAATACAATCGGCCATTGTTGTTGTTGTTGATGTGAGGGGTTTCCGCGCGGTTTGGCTTTATGAAGCAGGCACGGAAACGCTCACGTCATGGCGCAAACGATGACGCAATGACACAGCACCACTCGGGCTCTGGGCGGTATGAACAAAACGGGGGCTGAAAATAAAAACCGGTTCCGAACCAGAAGAGCGCAAGCACAGAGCTAGAACGGGAACCGCATTGGTGTGAAAGGGGCATTATATAAAAACCTGTCTGAAAATGAGCTGATCAGATTTTGTGATTTATGATGTCTTAAAGTTTTTTTGGGTTGTGTAACCATTAGCCAATAACCAACCAAGGTAACTCCTCGAGCACCATTGTGTTTTTTTAACCAAATATCTCGCAGAGGGGCGTTGGGAGTAATAATAATAATACATTGGATTTATAGCACACTTTAACAACGTCATCTCAAGGTGCTTCACAAAGCTATAAGGAGAAAATAAAACAAATACAAAAATAAAAAGATATCTAAAGGAGCATATTGAATAGAATATGGTAATATAAAAAAATAAAAATAAAAGGTTAAGGTTAAGAGCATAAAAGGAGTGGCACCTTATTTTCATCTAAAGTAACAGGCAGAGAATCAGCACTTTTGAAACAGGGCTGAAACAGAGGGGTTTATGGGATGCTGCAGTGGGTGATCTGTTTGGTATTTGGAGCCAAACACTTCAGAGACATGTTTTGTATAAAACGGAGAACTATAATATATTGATGAAAAATAGTATAATAGGGGACCGTTAAGTTCTGTTTCCCGCTACTTGACAAATGTAGGTGGAAGTTTCACTCTTTTTTTGTTGTAGTAGCCGCCAGGTCCTGAGGAAAACATCAGGCTCCTTAGCTGCTAAATGCTGAACATTACACCTTTGTGCACACGTTATTTATCTCCTTATTTCGGCGAGTAATCAGGTCGTAAAAAAGAACATTTGAGCTGGGTTATTAACTTGAATTGGCCTTTTCACATGGCCCTCTGTTAAACCTCTAATTGTTTAAACTCCTCAGGAAACACTGTCTGCGAACTCAGATTCCCCAATCCTGACTGGTACTGGGAGACGGTGCTGAAGATCTGCGTGTTTATCTTCGCCTTCGTGGTCCCCGTCCTTGTCATCACCATCTGCTACGGTCTGATGATCCTGCGGCTCAAGAGCGTCCGTCTGCTCTCCGGCTCCAAGGAGAAGGACAGGACCATGCGGCGGATCACCCGCATGGTCCTGGTGGTCGTGGCAGCCTTCATCATCTGCTGGACTCCCATCCAGCTCTTCATCATTGTCAAGACCATGGTGAAAACTGACAACACAAACCTGTGGGTGATTGCCTGCTGGCACCTGTGCATCGCGCTGGGCTACACCAACAGCAGTCTCAACCCTGTGCTTTACGCCTTCCTGGACGAGAATTTTAAAAGGTGCTTCAGGGATTTCTGCCTGCCCTTTCGCTCCCGACTGGAGCAGAGCAGTTTCTCCAGGGCGCGCAACAGCACCAGGGAGCCCGTGTCTGTTTGTGCTCCTGCGACGACACAGAGACCGCCGGCCTGACTAGGCATGGATCAGTGCGGGGGGAGATCAGTTCAGGAAGACCTCCAGACTGAGGTCACCACCACAGGAGTCTGAGACCACAGACGTGGCCGTTTGAGCACCATAATGTAAATGATGGATTGTGTTTTTGGTCTCATATGATGACACTCCTGAGACACGACTCAGGATTGTGGTTTACAATTATCAAAAATATACCTGGGTGCCTGTGCATAAGGAAATGGACACAAAATGTATAACCATATATGTTATGTTGACCATATATTATGCTTTTGCTTTTTTTTGGTTCTACACTCTAAGCTTTTAGACTGTTTGTTCACATCCATATTAGGTGAACAATGTAGGACACATTTCCAAAATGATCCGATTATCAGGAAGGAGATAGAACCTAAACACGCAGACAAGGCCACAGGAGGAGTCTTTTTATGGCCAAACAGAGGCTGGTGTATGATTGGCTGAGTTGGTCACGTGACCTCAATCCAACAGATCATTTATTCCCCCGATGAAGGCCAGACTGACTCTGAATTTCCCCGTAACATTAGCAGTGCAACGCTGGCAGACAGTCAACAGGGAATATATTGCTGTCTGCTGTCACCTTCATCTAAATATTACCAGTGATGATGATTTATGCTAACTTGTCAAACGAATTTCCATCCCTGAATTTTGGGGTACCATCTATAAGGGACTACAAGTCATTTAGTGACACCTTCAAATTAAACTAAATGTAACCTTTTTGTGGCCATAGCTGGGTAGAGGAAATAGCTGTAAACTTTGACAAATGTCTATTTACACATCCAGCAGTTACAGAGCCACATGATTCAGTTAAGTTCTGTTTCACACAACTTGACAAATGTAAGTGGAAGTTTCACTCTTGTTTTAGCTGTTGTAGCCGCCAACTCCAGAGGAAAACATCAGGCTCTGCCAACTGCTTCACTGAGTTCACCAGCTCACTGCGTCAGCTGTTAAGTGTTGTGTACAGTACAGACTTCATGCTGAAAAAACACTACGGCAGCAGTGAGACTGAAAGGAAACAAAAAAAACAAGCTGAAAGCCTCTACAGCGCAATGGAAGCCTAAAGTCGAAGAAGTATTTCCTAATAGTGCTTTTACATGACAAATAGTCACTTTAAAGTTCAATTAAAACTAAGTGAGGTTTTATTTCACGCCCAAAGGACTACAGAACCAATCCAAGGATAAATGTGTCACAATGCTAAAACTGTCTCACTGTACTGTATATTTACACTGGTAATACTATTGATACTCAACCTCGTTGGGAAGGTAATAAGAATTCAAAAATATTAACGCTTAGCTGAGACAACATTTTCTTTGTCTCCTTAACATTTAAATAAAGGATGCATCCAATTTCATGCTTCTTGCTGTGATATTCAGAGTAGAGATAATTACAGAGGAAGGCCACATTATTAATCAAAGACTACAGAGGAACACGTGTTCCATCCTACACATGTTATACCATGAAAACACAGCCTTGATGATTGAGCAGAGATGACTGACGCTTCAAGCCTACGTTCAGCTGACTTGACTTGTTTCCACTCCTCTGGCAGTCAGGCTGCTTTGGTTTCTTTTGTACAACAAAACACATTCATCTGACAGTCAGCTGAGGAGCTGAAGGGGAACGTGTGTCACGCTCACAGGTACAGATTAGAACCCAATAGCACGACACAGATACAACCAGTGTTCAGAATGTTCCGTTTATTCGGGTCAGGGACAGGCAGGGTAAAAACCAGGAAATCCAGCAGTCAGGCAAACAAATCCAAGAAGGGGCAGGCAGAACAGGGCTCAGAACCAGGCGATGCGTCAGACAGGCAAACAAATCCAATCGGGGGGCAGGCGGGAAGCTCGAGGTCCGATAACAGGCAGGGCCAAAACCGGGCAGGACAGATAACTAGGCAAAAGATATTGAAACGCTGGAGAGCTTGGCAAAATACACAAGACAATCTGGCAGAGGACAAGTGAGAGTGAGGTGGTATATATACTGTGGAGTTAATGAGGGAATGAGTAGCAGGTGAGGGGAAGGGCTGGGGAGACCAGGTGAGGGGAGTGAGCTGATTGCAAGAGCCTGGAGGAAGGCAGGATCTGAAATGACAGGAGAGTTAAGATGTGCCAAACCAAAAAACAACTATAAATGTGTTGAACTTGTGACAACGTGGACCAAAACGGACCAAACACATTAGCAAGGAACAAGAAGCTTGCTACACATATGACAGTTAATGGCATACGGAGGATCTTTGGACACTTGCAGGAGGATATTGTGGTGTTGAGAATACTTTTTTTGCACATTTTGAAAGAACAGTCACACCGATGCCTCTCATCTTGCCATGCGGTTTGTAAAAAAGGCAACTGTATATCAAGTGTAAAGATAAGATTGTTCTGCAACAGCATATTAAGTCATAATGTGAGTTTTTGTGTCATTGTGCTGTCAAGCTGTTGTGCCAGTAAGCTTCACTTGTAACTAATATGTAAAATGTTGATGTATTTACACTAAGTGCTATAAATGTAAGCAGCATTGGAAATGTTCAAACAATATATTTTGTTAAATATATCTCTGTCGCTGTAGGAAGAGCATTGTCAATGTTTTCTGCGGCGTGATCAACAATATGTTTGGCTGATTTAAAATATGTACCGTAATGCCTTATTACGCATTATGTTCTTTTTGTAAAAAGTGAACTGTTTTGATGAGAAATATTAGAATATTTGAGGATAATGAGAATATTTGATATTTAAATGTTTTCACACTCTGTGTTTCAGCAGATACAGTTTATAAAGTACCGTATTGTATAAGTGTAATGGAATAGCTTGAGTTGTATCCTGAGAGTGCTTCTCTGTTGATTTGTTGTTCTAAATACCTTTCAGTTTTAATCCAATGTTTGTTTTCTGTGGTTGTTATTACAGGTGTTATTTACATTTATACTCTGTGTAAATGCCAGTGAGGCCTCGTGGGAGTTACGAGTGAGTTGTTGGTACAATCTGGAAGGGATTAGAGATCAGGATGATACAGATGTGGCACAGGAACAAATGTGACACATTATAACTGTGTAAAGGAAAGCAAACTATGAAATAAAACAGGGATTTCTGGAGTTTCTGGTCACCAGATGAATTGTAGAATTAATTATGTTTACAATGTAACAATTAAAAGATGTTGATATATTTTGTTATTGTCCACAAATTATTTGAAAGACCCACAACATCAATTCATCTGTCTCTAAATCCCTTTTTAGCTTCCACAATTTAATACTTTTACTATTTGCAGCAGCAGGTTTAGTTATCTAGCTAGTAATGACATCAGCAGGACAGGGTATGTGGAATATAAACATCAGTGCCAATGTTATCATAATGTAGGAACATGCCACCCTACAGTGTGGCTCATTTTTGGAAAGCAATGGAGCTCTATAGAAATAAGATATATCGGCCTTTCGTAAGATCAATTCACTTTTGTTTCTGACAAATCAAATACAAAGAATTTCAACAACATTAACCTTTTCACTTTTGTTAAAATCCCTGAATGTCACATATTCACATATTCACCTTACAACCTTCAGCACAGTTTTTGTATATTCATAAAAATGCGGAAATAAAATACACGCATTTTCCCATAAAAATCTATAATTCTAATTGGATGTGGAATGTGTCCTGTTGATAGCAAGGGTCAAACTAAAGTGCTAAACTTAATTTGGCAATACCTTCTGAGCGGTACTTGGGAGGCAGTTAACACTGAAATGACACATGCCAGTGAAGCCTAAGAGGATGTGTTAAAAAAAAACACATTATTGTGCATTTTTCCCATGATGGTGTCTGGTTCACACGTTCAACTGGTCTTTCATTTGACTTTACACACATTAATTGGCTGAAATTACTGTGCTGAAAGAAGTTTCAGAGAAAAGAAAACTTGATAAGAAGGCATCAATCATGCTCATTTCTCTTTCAGACTCCTGTGGATGTTGACAGACTTCACTCAGAAACAGAGATGTTATAAGAAGCTCCTCATAGAGACATCATAGCGCTCCCAGCAGGAGACTCAACATCACTGTGACATTGCAGATTTCCTGCATTTCGCTTTATGCAGCGGAGAGAACTCAAGTGTACCTGTGATCTTTGCTTTGACACCGACATTTTTGACTGTTTTACCTGTCTTTTGTTTTTCTCTGAGGGCTTCAATTTGCATGATGCAAAAGGCTTTAAAACATGTACAGTTCGCAGAGATACTGTAGTCTAGTTTGAGAGCGACACATTATGATTAAATGCTCTCATCCACTGACCCTGACTTGTTGTTGCTCGTGCACTCGAGCAAATTAACAAATGGAAATGAGAACAAAGGGAATCTCACTGAAGCTTTCATAACAGCTCTCAGTGATGCAATGCAGCATCATAAACTCAAAGCTTCCAGCAGTTTGTTTTCTGCTTTCTGGATGACTGGATATTATGTGACTTCTCCTGCTTATTTGTCTGTGCAGAAGACGTTCTGATGAGATCTGCTGTAAATGAGAGAGAGGGATCGGATTTGTTTCTTGCCGTGATGGAACATATCCTCTTGGATAAAATTGTGGTCTAAGCTAAATGATGACACAAAATAATTAAATCTTTGGCGTCCCAACAACAGACACCTACATCATGTAACCAAGGCTTTCCACACATCACAACATCCTGGCTGTCGGTGCACAAACTGTTGTTGCTGAGTCAAATAACCCAAAACTCAAAGGCACCCAAAAGGAATAAGATACAGAGATGAAGGTAATGCAGATATTCTGGTACTGGGTTTGCCAATCAAGCCCTGCTGCTGTGTGTGACAGACGGTTGCTGTAACACAGATAATCAGACCTCCTGGTTGCCTGAGGTGCAAAAAGCTTGAAGCAGTTTGACTGGAGGTTATAAAAGGCAGCAACTACTCTGGTATTCCCTTCTGAGGAGCAGAGACAGGAATTCAAACTGGGTGCCATCTGCCAGCTGAGTCATGGGGACTGTGTGACATGTTGTGTTTTCTTTAACCCTTGACTTACACTTTAATTGGTTTAACCAGTTTGTGAATCCCAGTGTAAATCTTAAT